AACATTTTGAGACAATGCTGAGAATATTTTGGGGAAAAAAGTCTTCTGTCAAAAATTGCTTTTCTCAAGCGGGGCAAGGCAAATAATAAATCTATAAATCCTTTTCCAGTATTTAAAAAAAAAAAAATGGACCAGAAACAAACGCAGCGCAAACAGGAATCAGATCAATCTGGAGGATGGCGCTTCTTCCTGCCTCGTTTGCATTATTTTTAGACAGCAAATGTTCTCCAGCTCTTCCACCTTATAGAACCACCGGGGCCCCAAATGCATCTCTCGGTTTCCAGGAGCTCCCAAGGTTCGTTGACAAAACTCCGCAAGGTTGGTTCTTATTTTACAAACCCAAGCTTGGATCCCGTCTACAGACCCACTGGAGGTTTTAATTGTCCCATCCAAGTTCATTGATCCCGGACCAATTGCATCCACATGTAATGCTGATTAATAAGAGTTGCTTATTGAAAATAAAACGGGGCTATTAGTAAGGAAAGATCAAGGGGAGAATATAAAGCGTGGTCTTCTATTCCTTCCCCCACCCCCACCCCCAAATCAGCAAACTCTGCGTGTGAGTAAAGATTCTGGCATGTCCCAAAAGTCCCCCTTGGATTCTGCACAGCTGTTTGAGCAGTTCAGATGGGGGGGGGGGAAGAGGGGGGCAGAAAAGGTTTGCACCTGATGTGCCTGGAATTGTTTGCAACCCATTTCAAGAAACCCAGTCGTCGATTATGGTATACCTGTGTCCCATCTTATTTTACTGACATCCTTAAAACCAATTACGCAGAATAGCTCCCGAGTTTAAATATTTATTGTGATGGAAGAGTGCCTTTCCAGCAATTCCCCTTGCCTAGAAAACAGGACGCCTATGACGAGAGGGGATTTGGAAGCAGTTGCTCTTGTAATTAAGTCAACTGGGATGCTGGTTTTGTTATCAAGCTGCGGCACACAAGCAGCTGAAATTGCTAAAGGAAGAGCATCGCCTTGTGTTTCTCACCCCCCCAAAAAAATGCATATACCGATCTAGCTGGCTGCTGCAGTCCCTGCCAACTGCAAGCGCTTTATTTTTCCTGCATTAAGTGAATGGATGCAGTGAGAAGGGAACGAAAGCATGAAAGAAAGACCAGCGAGAAGGAAACATCCTGACCTGCGAGAAAGGAATTGTACTTTGGCCTCCTTTTCCGAAGGAACATAGAAAGCTGCCGGGTTACAAGAATGGCTAGAGCATTAGGGGTGCCCCCGTAGAGATATGCGTTTAATGAAAACATAGCAACAGAGATAGTCTCTAAATCTGTTCCGTATTTAGAGAGATTAGCGGACGATCCCATTTATGCCCAGAATTTCCAATCTGTTTTACCATTCAGTTCGACTGCTCTGGTCCTCTTGAAAGACAGACAGGCCATTCAGGGATCAGAGCCCCCCCACAACTCAATTATCATCCCTGAATGTGCCATCGAGATTGGAGCACTTATGACTCCAGTACCTGCTAATTCCACTTTCCTCTGCTGCTTTTCTTCTCCTGCCTGCGTGGAATATCTTTTTATGTAAACGTACATATCATTCATATTCATATATTGTGATCCAAGCAGCTCAGCCAACTACTAAAAGCCCCCTGCCATCTAATTGCAAATACAGATTAAAGAAAATGCCATTTAAAATGCCCAAACTTTTGTTCAAGCAATCCAAGCAATATGGTTATGCATTTAATTAAAAACAGCCAATCCAAATTTCAAAATATGTGTAAGTCATATGTGCATACCTCTGGTGTGGCCAAAAACTAAATAGAACTAGCATATACAAATTGCTTGGATTATTACTTACACACTTAATTCAGAAAGCCAGGCCCAACTCCCAAAGAAATGGATATCTATTTAAATTCTTGGAGGGGAATTGATGTTGTTCTGGATATGCAATGTATTTTTCATTGAGGTTTTCTCTGAATTGTGTCGCATCAAAAGATTTCCATTTCCACACGCTAGTAGCTGCAACCCATTTGCACATTTCTTGCACGCAACACATGTGCAACTGCTCAAGTTTCAATCCTTCGATAAGATCTCATTTTGCTTCCACTAAAGCAGGTTGTACAACTTGTTTTTCTTCGATGCGTGCCCTACATCAAAGCACTCCGCTGTCCAAAGAGAGGGCTAAAAACTCTTATCAACTGTTCTAAATGTTACCAGCTGATTTCAGATTTTCAGTGATGTGAAAACATCAACGTATGTTATATAAACACTCATATGAAGTGAAGGAAACATTATGCACACTCAAATTTAATGCTTCCGGCTTATTACATTATTATTATTATTTATGATGAGAGTTGCTTTTATCTTAGACTGCCTACAATATTTCAAAGACTACAGCCTGTTAGTAAATTGTTCACCGTGCTTTTAAACCACTCAAAATGTCTTTGTTCAGTCTATGTTATGACCTGTTTTAAGTGCCCAGCGATGCCTTGGGACAGGAGCCTGTATACATTTCCCTTTCATTCCCTTTGCAGGACTATTTTATTGTCCTAATTGTCCCTGCTCAGAGGATCATCGTACTTACACAACAGTTCATTCACCCAAAGAACATTTATTATTATTATTATTCAAGCCACGTTCCTATCTCACCCAATTGGGTTCCTGTTTTAAGATGCTGGAGGAATTCAGATCCTTCAAGGAACACCAAACTCCGAAAGGAAACTGAATCCTGCTTTGACCTCTGCGGGGGCACCCAGCCCAGCCACCTTTCCCTTCTCAATTCCCTTTTTTTCTCCTTTCCTGCTGCTTACATTTCCCTTCCCTATCTTGGCTGGGCAAAGCAGCCGCTCGGGTATACAGCGGCTAAGAAATTTAGAATTTAATAGAATTTGTATCCCGTGGGACTCAGGGCGGCTTACAGAGCAAGATAAAAACATTTAAAAATTTAAGACTAAAAATACAGTTGTTAAAAATTACACACCATCCATTCTATCTAAGTGGGGCTGGACATTGATCAAGAAAGAGAGGTCCTTGGAGGGGGGGGGGGGGGAAACAGGGAGGGGGTCCGACTGCATGACCTCGAGGGTCCCTTCAGATTGGGCTTTTCAGTTCTAGCCAGGGCACTGGCTAAATAAATTTAAAAAAAGAGGAGAAATTGGGAGGAGGGAGGGGGTCTCCGCAATCTTTCAGGCCAACACGTCACAGATACCCATCTATCACATTTTGGGTGTGGGACTACAAATCCCATCATGCCCAACCACGAAGCTGGAGTCTTCTCCCCCCCGCCCTCGGGAGAGGGAGGGAGGGAGGGAGGGGAGGGCTGGGGTCTGAGCGGCCCGCGGGCTGGAGGCCAGCGCCTCGCCTGCTGCGGATGATGGGGGATGTAGTCTCCTGGTGGGCGCGGAGCGGCCTCCTCCTGCCGAAGGGCGGGGCTGAGGGGGGCGCGGGGGGGGGCAGGAGCGAGAGGAGCAAAGCCCCGCCCCTGCGCGGCCCCGCCCCCGCCCCCTCCCGCTGGCGGCCCTGCGGGCTGGGCGCCGTGAGGCGACCCGAGCGAGCCCTCCGTCGTCCTGAGGGGCCGCGCCGGAGCCCTCCAGGCTCCGCGGCCGAGCAGCCGCAGCCTCAGCCGGGAACCCGCGAGAGAAGCGAGGTTACCGTTTGCCTTGCCGAATTCTCGTGGTGTTTGGCCGGGCGGCTGCGATAATGGCGTCCTTCCTCGCGAGAGATCCTCCGGAGTCGGCCGCTGCGCAGGCGCGCTTCGGGTAGCGCGTCCCCTCGCCTTAGAGCCCCGAGAGGGGCGCGCAGGCGCACTCCGCCCTCTTCCCCGCTTGGGAGACGCCGGGCGCGTCGACAGCCCAAGCAGGGCGGCCGCGAGACGAGCGGGAGGACTCGGAGTCCCAGAGGGCCTTGCGCGCGCGCGATCCCTCGCTGCCCCGTGCCGCCCTTGGCACACTGGGAGATGTAGTACGCCGGGCAGAACTGGCCTTTTTGGTGGTGGGGAAAGCCGGCGGGCTGCAGGAAAACGAAGGTTTCTCCTGCAGATCTTAGTTTGGGTAGGGGTCTCCTGTGCCAAGCCAATAAAATGTGCCCCTTCTCAGATAAACCAATATTTTGCAAACTTGGCATCTTGAAAAGGGATGGACTTCCCGAATTCCTCAGCCAGCTTTTCAACTCAGAAAAGTTAGACTAAAAAAAGATGTTTACCCATGTTGCTAATCCGGATTTTCTGCAACGGTACATGAGCGCATCTAGCAATACAAACAGCCTGTTGAACAACGTGCTTTATAATGTATACAATTACTAAGGAACAGAACAGAATTTGGAGCAAATTTAAATAGGAGAGATGTCACCCTGTTCATTTAATGTACTATATATGCAGAACACGGCATGGGAAGAAACCAAAACTGGCGTTTAAATGGCTGGGAGAAATAGCTATTTAGGTGATAATAGCAATAGCAGTTAGACTTATATACCGCTTCATAGGGCTTTCAGCCCTCTCTAAGCGGTTTACAGAGTCAGCATATTGCCCCCAACAACAATCCGGGTCCTCATTTTACCCACCTCGGAAGGATGGAAGGCTGAGTCAACCTTGATCCCGTGAGATTTGAACCGCTGAACTGCAGATAACAGTCAGCTGAAGTAGCCTGCAGTGCTGCATTTAACCACTGCGCCACCTCGGCATGGATGGATGGACAGGAGGAAAAAACTAAAGAATTGTCTGAAAAGTGGAAGAAGAGTTTGCAAAAGTCAACCCAAACTCAATGGAAATAATGATATACGCCTAGGCTCCAAAGTTCTGGGTTTCTTGCCCACAAACAAAGAGATACCTGAATATGACAGATTGTGAGCAAGGTCAGATGCATCACGTTGACAATAAAAAGTCCTTATTGTCAGGACTATAACATTATCAATTTTAATATGTAGCTCTCACAGCTGGATCTTCAGAAAAACTGAAGGAAGAAAAGCTGGAGGCTTGGAATTACACCTTGGAGTAGTAGAAAAACAAACCACGCAATGCTTGATCAAGGTTGCTCAGTGGAAGCACTAATAACCAAGCCAACATTTGATATTTCCAACCCTTCAACAATCACTGGAGAAGACCTTGATGTTTTGAAAAATCAAAGGCCAACAGAAGATAGGACCACCATATCTATGACACCATCACATGATACAAGGAGCAGCTTACATGAGCTCAAAGAAGTCATCATAGACCAGTGTTTCTCAACCTTGGCAACTTGAAGATGTCTGGACTTCAACTCCCAGAATTCCCCAGCCAGCATTCGCTGGCTGGGGAATTCTGGGAGTTGAAAGTCCAGACATCTTCAAGTTGCCAAGGTTGAGAAACACTGTCATAGACAGTCCTACCAAAATTATATCTTTCAGACCACAGGAATTCCAATAAAAACGAACAGCCGTTCTATTCCTTGATCTCTTTGGGTCCCCTTAAAACAGCAGGGCGGGGCCAGCTAGTTCCTGCCTACGAAACCGACTGAGCCAATGTTTAGAAGCTCACGTTGTCCAGGCTTGGTGTTATCAGTTTAGGGGCTGTTTTAGGCACATTCTACCAACCCAGTCTATAATTTATGGTAAAAATTAACTCTCTGTACATACACAGTTTCCAATAGTAGAACAAAGGTTGTCTCTCGCAGTTTATAGAAGAGAGATGCTCAAACGAGACGCCTAAAGATGGGGTTTTGGAGATTCCTGGAGGTGGTGAAGATGGCTTTCTTGAATATTAACATCCCGTTAAAATCTGAGAAATTTTCCTCTTGCCCCTTCGCTTTCTGTGGGAAGAGGGGCTTTGCTGAATGAGAGCTGTTTGTAAGTCAACACATCTGATAATCAGTAATCTTAACAATTGTTTTCCCCATCAAGGGTCATCTCTCCCCTTCCCTTCTTTCTAGACTCTCGGTGTCCTTCAGCCAGCTGTTTGCCTTTCATAAAATGCGTCTGAGAACAGGTCACCAGAACAAATACAGTGGTGTTTTAAAAGAAGATTGTGAAAAAGAGGAAAAAGAATCGCCCATTCGGAGTGTTCGTTGCAATCCTGAAATTCTTCTTACGTGGAAGGAAGGGGGGACTTAAAGGTAGACAGTTCCTCAGGGGCAAAAAAGTAATGAAACAGAACCTACAATCAAGAGAAAAATCTGCAGAGGGACAGGTTGAAATTTAACCTTTTTTTTTTTTTGGACAATCCATTTGTCCTAACAGGACATTGACACTCTATCTGTCGGTTTGAATGGTAAAGGTGCTTTTTTCCTTTGCTACAAATCTCTTTTATCAAAACAAAAAAAAATATGAATATATTTCTTGCCAATCTAAAAATAAGAAACTTGACCCATTTGAGCAAAAAGTCAAAAATTGCCTGGGGACAATACCTGACACCCAGAAGATCCTGCAATTTGATCTGCTGCACTCATAAAAACAGGTACGCTTCCTGTAAGTATCCAGCTTTTATTCTCTCTTTTTTTCTTCAGGAAGATTTTAATTTAAACCACTGGCATTTGTCTGAATGGTATCAGTAGATCTATGTTTCTGGTAGGAGAAAAAAGCACTTTCATGAAATCAGAGCAGTAGCATTTGTTTTCATTGGTTTGCGTCTTTTTGCTATAATGAGATTTTTACATTGTGACTATCACTAATCATTTTTTGAAAACGAGAGTATTTTGGGAGGACTGGAAAGAAAAACAAATGGTTAAAAAAAGAAATATTTCCTTTTTTTTTTTCTGTTGCACTAGTTTAAAACAATCCCTTTCAAGTTTGGTGGATGAATTTAACCCAGCCAATATCTTGCAGATTCTAAACCAGTGTTTCTCAACCTTGGCAACTTGAAGATGTCCGGACTTCCACTCCCAGATTTCCCCAGCCAGCATTCGCTGGCTGGGGAATTCTGGGAGTGGAAGTCCGGACATCTTCAAGTTGCCAAGGTTGAGAAACACTGTTCTAAACCAAGTGAAATCTCAGCTCATATGGTGACAAAACATCAAGGAGTGATTGAAAATATTATTTATCTCTAAACCTGGGCAAAAGCATAAGGGATCTATCCCAAACTCAGCCTTCTTTCTTTTCAGTGGGAACAAGTTTGTTTTCCTGGCACAAACCAGCATTATTTTAACAAGTGTCGCAGGGAGGAGATTAAAATAGGTCAGCAATGTCACAACCAATCATGCCTTCGGGCAGAACTGGCTTGTCCTACCTCTGGTCACATTGGCATATTGGTGTATCTACCCGGTTGGAAAGTTTTGTTTTTCCACTCATCGGAAAATCCTTTGGAGCTTTTAGCATATTAACAAAAAGTGTACAATAATTGCAGGGGGCCCATTGGCTTTAGGAACTGGAATTTCCAGTCAGACCAACAAATATTTCCCCCCCGAGGAAAACCAAGCCGTCTGGTTTTCGAAATAAATACTGGTAGATCAGCTATGGATCACTGGAACAAACAGGATTTCATGAATAACATAGAATAACAGAGTTGGAGGGGACCTTGGAGGTCTTCTAGTCCAGCCCCCTGCTCAAGCAGGAACCCTACACCATTTCAAACAAGGGGCAGTCCAACATCTTCTTAAAAGCCACCAAGAAGACATAATTTTCAGATATAGTTCTTAGATATAATTTATAAGACAATAATTTTTCAGGTAAAAGCAGTTGTTCTGGACCATTTTAAAAAAAAATCCCATCAAGTACATTTGGCCCGTAGTTTTATTTGAAAGCTTCTTTTCAACCAAGCTCAACGTCTACCCTGTTTCTCCAAAAATAAGACCTCCCCGGATAATAAACCCAGTTGGGCTTTTGGGCTCATGCACTAAAATAAGCCCTCCCCGAAAATATTGCAACACAGTAGCAGCCATGAGGTGGCCACGCTCGCCGCCTCCTGTACGTCAAAAATAATAAGACTTCCCCGAAAATAAGACCCTGTCTTAGCCGAGGTGGCGCAGTGGTTAGGGTGCAGTACTGCAGGCCACTTCAGCTGACTGTTATCTGCAGTTCAGCGGTTCNATATGCTGACTCTCTGTAAACCGCTTAGAGAGGCCTGAAAGGCCTATGAAGCGGTATATAAGTCTACTGCTATTGCTATATAGTTCAGGTTAGCAAACAGAAGAGTCATAGATATCTCCACTGAAATGAGATGAGATAAAATGCAAAAAGAAGTTTCTCCCAAGTAAACTCAAAATTGTTTCTCCGCAATGTACAAATATGTACAAGGTTGGAAACAGAATCACGAGAACAAAATCTTGATTTTGATGCGATCGTAGATAGCTTTTCACATCCAGATTATCCTCCTGCTGAGAAACAAGAGCCATCTGAGGCATGAACGAAGCCAAAGTCATCCAGCCTTCTGGTTCTCTCTACATATAGGGACGATAATGGGAAACATGTGTACATCCACGATTCTTTTTTTTTCTTTTTAATTTACAGGATTTCCCCCCTCATTTTCCAAAACAATTACCATGACAACAAATCTCACTGAAAAGAGTAGGAAGAGGCAGTGGGCTGCTACTGGAGCCTCGAAGAGCCGCCGCCGGCTGATAATGGGCATGATTATTTCTAGCACAATCGGTTCAATCAACTTCCTAGTAGACAGATGTGTCTGTAATCCACATCTGCAAGCACAAAAGACACCGTTGGGAGAAGAGGAGATTTACACGGACTTCACATCCCAATGCACACGCCTTCACAAGCCATCCCAAGCTTTGGTTGAAGCCAAAAGAAGTCCTATAGAAATGGATACTGCACTGATATATA